TAGTAGCACATCCATTTCTGTCGGGAAAAACGCAGACCTATTTTGGCTTGGTCCTGTTGCCATGGTGACTCGTAATTTCTTCACTCCATTGTTCAGGGCTTTTTATAGTCGCGTGGCACGCGCCTAACTCTGAGTCAGACAACTCAGAGTTGCTTAAACCAACTCTTTTCAGCTGTTCTGAAACCGAAAACTCTGAGTTTTCCAACTCTGAGTAAGTCAACTCAGAGTTCAGGTCTGAACTCTGAGTTTGTTGAACCGCCTTCTTGAAATAGGCCCCTGGTCTTCTCATCCAACTCTTTGCACAAGAACAAAAAAAGCACCAAATGTTAAACTTCTTCCTTAAGCTCCACAAAGCCTTTTTCATTGCAGTTCTCATGCCTGAGATTATGTAGTGAGCCAAAGGTTAGGCTATCCACTACTAATCAAATGTATTTACACAAGTTAGGTCTCCCTTCTCTGTAACAGGGAAACGGGTAACTTTCTGCTAAATACAGACCGCTGTCAGTTCAGCAGCGCTTAGCTAACTGTACAGTTTCATAGAGCTGTTATTAAACTGTACTGGCTGAACTTGATGATTTTGGATTTTAGACTACAGTGGTGTTGGTGAATTGTTTAGATTTACACCGATGCTTCGCATTGTTTGTCTGACCTCAGGGGCTGTTTGGGAGAGATCAACTCTCAACACACGGGTTGCACCAGCTGAGCTCTAGTTGTAGGAAACAAATGGAGGAGAACTGACCCCTTGGCAAAATGCACACAGATGTGGCTCTGCCGGTGATAAAGAACAAAGGTGCACGAGGTGAGAGCCAGTGTTGTGACTCCAGTGAGTGACAAAATTGTGCTGAATGTGCAAAGTGTGTAACAGCTGTTAGTTCAGTCCAGGGAAGATATGTTTAGCTTAATATGTCCACTGCTATTTTACACATGGTGGCCATGTGATCATCTACATTTTCTACTCTGGAACCTGAATAGGAAAACTAATTGACACAAGAACACTTCTGTTCACCGATAAGCATTAAGAGTGTGTCACGCCATTTGGACACCTAGTGAGGGGTCATTTGTAAGCAATTAGAGATTCATTTTATTGTGATCACAAGCAAATTATGATCTCTATTAAATAATTTCGAGCGATCACACATAATCACAGGAAGCCACTGGAATACCACACACAATGATCTCTTGCACTGTGAACAACTATTAGTCTGACATTGAAAGGCCAGAGATGATACACTCATCACTGGCTTTCAAGTGTTTATGTGTAATTTGTTGTCATCTCAGAATAACAGCGTCGGCTTCGCTATGATTGTTAAATCACTGTCTAGTGACACAATAAACGGGTTCTGGCAACTTCTGAATGAAGATTAAACAATATTTTTAGTGTAGACACCTTCATTTCTGTTAAACGGTGGCAGAGTAGTTCTACTGATTTCCTGTTGGTGGGAACGGCATTAAAACCCTCCACAGTATGAAAACATGATCAGTAAGCACCGGTATCTGGATTGGAGATGCCCCCACAGCGGTTTGTGGACGCCCCGCCTCTGGCACGTAGCTCTGTCATCATGAATAAATCATCCGTAGGTCTACGTGTCTATTGGCTGGCTGTCAGTCATCCGGCTCCGAGCGTGAAGCTGCACGGAGTCACACAGAGTGTGAAAGGAAGTGGGCGATTAGGCTTTCAAAATAAAACTAGCACACTTTTATTTTGTTGCGTTCTTTAACTTTTTGGCGCTCATTATGTGTACTTTAAAGTCTATTTGTGATCCGTGCATCCATTCTATACCAACGTTTTGATTCTTACAATTCCAGCATGTGAATTTGTTATATTTGCAACTGTGTTTACACTAATAGGATATTTGAACAGCTGACCCATATAGCCTAGGATAGCCTACTGCAGTGGGCCTTTTAAATTTCGTTTCTTTTGTCTATTATTTTATTCTACTGATGTAGGCCAATTAGCCCAGTTGGCATATATCTTCTGTGACAGACGAATTCCCTTCCCTGAATCCCAGTGAAATCGTACCCTATGCTATGAGACAGTACTTGATTTTGCCCAAACTGTTTACATTAGCGCATTTCCTTTTTGAGCCTAATATTAGCCCAGGTAACAGTGACAGGTAAAGCTAGATGAATACCTGGATAAAACAGCCAATTCCCACCCACAGCTGCTTTAAACAGAACAGAATTATTTAAACACATAACCCTTACAAAACCGCCGGTTTTCCCCTAGGAAACCGTTTGGCGAACTGGACAGCCGACTCAGACAACAAGTCAATGCGTCTCCATTGGACTTCATAATTACTAGCCACGCTGGTCTTTTATTTTGAAAGGTTTGTCTGGCTCTTCTCCCGTTCTGTCCTCGCTAACCTTCCTGTGGAAGGCGGCCAGCTCTACGGTCTGAACTCAACAACAAGCCGTCTCAGGCACTTTTCTTTTTCTCTCCCTCTGTTTTTTCTGCCGCTCTCCTCGCGTTCACAGTGAGTGGGTGTGTCGGTGTGGGCCAGCGGAGCCGAGCCGCGGCTTGTGCGCACTCTGAAAAAGAGGAAAAAGTTGGTGATGAGTTTAGTGTGAAGGCGGCAGCCTCGGAGCAGGCTAACCGTCCAGAGATGGCAGTGTGGACCAGAGCGGACAAAAACGGTCAGCTGGACCTCCTGCTCCGCGACCGCTGGATCCGAGTGGCCGCCGAGCTCACCCGTGAAACGCTGACTTTGACGGCCGAAGCGGACGTCACCGGACAGGGGGGCAGTCACTGGGACTACAGCAACTCTTCGGCGGGCCTGCGAAATGGCATGTCGAACGGAAACTACCCGAGTCCGGGAGTCCACGGTCCGTCCTCAAGTAAAGACCAACTCCAGAGCCAGAACCATGGGGGACGAGGGCGCAGCTTAAACAGCCCTGGAAAGTACCCGAATAACGGCAACTCGGAATTCGGAAGTTCCAGCTCGAGCTATGGTAGCCCCGGGTCCAACTTCCCGGCGAGTTTGGACGGTTCCTCGGAAGCCGTGCGGAAGGTCAGAGTTGTTAAGCAGGAGTCTGGAGGGTTGGGGATCAGTATCAAGGGTGGGCGAGAGAACCGGATGCCCATCCTCATCTCCAAGATTTTCCCGGGGCTTGCTGCAGACCAGAGTCGGGCTCTCCGAGTGGGCGATGCGATTCTGTCGGTGAACGGGAACGACCTCCGTGAGGCAACACACGACCTGGCGGTGCAGGCGCTTAAGAAGGCGGGCAAAGAAGTGACGCTGGAGGGTAAGTTGGCCCACGCGAGAACGGGGATTTGCAGAGGCCAAGATTAGACTTCGGTGACCCGGGTGCAGTAACAGTTAGTTAGGTCTGGCCCTTGATTAGTCCACCACACATTATAAGAGTGAACCTGCTCCTACCGAAAGTAAATCATGAAGTTCTTTAAAGCCATTTCTCCAAATACCTGACGTTTCTTTCTACCCAGAATCAGTAGGTGGTAAAGTAAAGCTTTAGTTGTCTGCTAAGTGACCTGGTGTAACCAGAGGACGCAGGCTGTCTTCACTAAAGCCCGGTGAACCTGGCGGCACATGTTCAGTGGGTTGTAACCCTCTCTGCACAAATAACTGTTCCTATAACACGTTATGAAACAACTGCAGACATAAACAAACAGGCTCCCAGTTGGTCTATGACCAGCAGGAGGAGGAGTGGCGCTTAGACACTGTCAATAGCCAACAAGGCCTGTGATCAGTGCAAAATAACAGATAATGTACCACAACTGTGGTTGCAGTCAGATTTAGATATGTTGTAGTCATTGTCTTTAAATGACTGTGCGCTGCTAAAGATAAGAGGTCACTGATGAGATGAGATTGGTCTCTGTGTGTCCACAGTCAAGGAGAGACAGAGGAAATCATGTAATCATGTTGAGACGTTTGCATATTGTACTTACACAAAGAAGAATATAACTAATTATATGTTGTGAAATTTTAAAGGAGAAGTGCAACAGAAGAAGAGCAGTGTAACACACTGAACAGAAACAAACCGTATTATACATGGGAAGTGCCAGGTCCCATATATAAAAGAAAGTGTCTAATACAACTGAAAACATGTATAGACTGAATTAAAAAACATTTAACGCAGTCCTGTTTAACACTGCATTGGTCAGTAATTTTTGCTGTTTTATAGAGCTGAATCCAGAATCAGAGGGAATGATCAGCTAGCACTTTGTTTCTGCACCCTAGTGGCCACAAATTGATTAAGGCAGCTCAATAAACTGCATGTGAGCTCCCAGGCTTCATTCATACTACAGGCCCTAATGCTTAGTCCACATTGTTTTGGACAGATCGGATCTTTTTGTGTCGATGGTTCACTTTCATGTTTGCAAGTGACGTGTTTGGCTTCGTGTGTGAACACATGCACAGATTAAAGTGAAATGTGAGCCATGTGCAGTTGAAACGCCAACCCTCTGGTTGGGAGACGACTGCTCTACCCACTGAACCACAGTCACCCCAACAGTGGTCATATGGTCAAAGATCAGGTACGAAGCAGATCTAGAACCACATATGAAATTGGCCTAGATCAGATCTGAAAACATTTGATTTGGCTTGTTAACATGTCTATGAAAAGATCAGAGTCACTTAAAGGGAAAAGAGTGGAATCTGGCCACTGCAGCAGGTGATGTGAATGTTCACCAGTGTCACTTCATACCGGCATTGGATTTGCAGCTCTGCTGAAGTTTTCCACATGCAGACGGGCATACACACATCAAAAAGACTAGAGCTGACTAAACTTAAGACAGAAGACCCATGCTACATGCTAAGTCATCTAGACATGTTGAAGATGGAGGCAGCGTGCTATAGGTAGAGTAATGTGTCACAGGCTCATTATGGGCCTGAGCAGAGTTCTGAGTGAATATGTTCAGACACTAAACTGTTCTAATTTTGAGCTGTTCAGTCTTTTGAAAAGTGGAAAAAGAGTAAGTGGGGGAGAGAGCCCTTGAGGTTTGGAAACTTTGGGCCAGAACAGCTAAATGGAGTGTTTAATGGCTTGGAATGAACACTGGATGAATACTGACAAGCACGAATTGTAGGAACTAATCAACATGTGACATGCTTCCAAAATAATAATGAGATAAAATGTGACTGACTGTTGGTGCCATCCGCTGTGCTGATTAAATAAAAACCAGAGGTACAAATGTCTGCTTCAACCCTAATCAAACATGATCTAAAATATGGTGTTGTTACAGTTGATTACTGTTTTTTCAGCTTGTTGCTGGAAATCTCCAGGTAGAAAAGTGACATGTACAAAGGCAGCATAGGACAGAAGAAGTGCTTTGTAAAACAGGGAAGTAAGTATCATTTCAAAACCACTGGAATTTGGCCTGTTGCATCTGACATGGATATAAAAAAACATTTCCAGCAGCCCTCAGGAACAGAAGGAGGATGTGCTGCCTCCTGCCACAGTCCAGATATGGGCCTCTGTTGGGAAGAATGTGTCAGCTGCTTGTCACTGTTTGTTAGTTTGGCAGGCGGTGAACTGTGTTGTTTGTGGAGTGGCTCTTCATCGCAGTCCCCTCTGTCTTTGCTTGGCTCTCAGCTCTCTGTGACAGAACAGCAGTCGGTCAGGGCAAGGCTTACGTTTCCAGACCGCTGTGCTGTGTACCCAATATTCTCACAATTAGCTTAGGTGCTCCACATTCCTGACCTCTGCTTTCATGTACATATTCGGGGCAAAGGTCCATGACTGGTGCCACTCCACAGTGGCAGTGTCTCAATTACTTTCTTCTGTGACAGCGAATCCTCTAGTCTCCTATCAAAAAACGCCCGTGTCCTGATCACCAGCCTTGTTTACATGGTCTCATTCCGTCATCAGCGAGCACCACTTTGCAAATAGTACTGTGGCCGTGGAGCCTCATCAGGACCAGTCCATGAAAATCCAACCTTTCATACCTATTCATTACCATACTTTGTTTTCTGCTCACCCCAGACTCTGTCCTCTCTCACTGAAGTACCACTAATTGACCCGGGGCCTTTCTGTGCAGAGTCTGCATGTTCTCCCTGTGCCTGTGTGGGTTCTCTCCAGGTACTCCGGCTTCCTCCCACAGGCCATAAACATGCATCTTAGGTTGACTGGTGACTCTAAATCGTCCCTAGGAGTGAGTGTGGGTGTGTGTGGTTGTCTGTCTCTACGTATGGGTGTACCCCGCCTCATCAGTCACTGGGACGAGGTCACCAGGGCATTCTTCATACAGTACAGTATTTTCATGGATACATTGAAAAATAAACCCCTAATAGAAGGTTTGTTCTTGTCTAATTCGGTGTATTAAGTACCCAACAAATCAAATCCTTCATTGCACTAATGTAAAAATCCTGTAAATCCAACATAACCATAGAGCATTCCTGTTCACTGACATGCAGCACTGACTGCAACAACCTCATGAAGCCACAGGTTTTAAACAGATGAACAGACACTACCACTGTAAAGCAGTTAAAGGATAATGGTGATCATTTTCTATATTTATAGTGTATATGTAGTGTTTTCAGCAACCCCCACAGGGAATTGCCTCTACTCACAGTAAGCCTGTCTCCAACCTGCATTATCTTAGTCTTCTCTGCCAGAGACCTCCAGTGTTCTTTAAAAACACACCAGTGAAACACACTGCTGCACTGGGAGACCATGATGATTGACTGAAGAGTGGTTTTGAAGCAGCTCAATTCTGGCCACTTCCATATCGGTAGCGCTCCACCCCACCTGCTACAGCTAATCCAAAAAGGACAGAGGTGGAGCGTGAGTGGAGCTTCCTAGACAGCTAGCGACCAGCCACCTATGGCGGGACCCTCCCGCCTGTCACTTAGAGTCCACGTGCTTAATTATGTGTAACTTTTAGTCTCAATATAATTTAAACAGGCAAGTTATAAAATAATAATAATAATTTCACCCCCTGTATGAGTTAGAGAGACCAAAACCATTTTTGTACCAGGCTGTAAACGCATTTATTTCTGCTGTAAAGTTGGGCATTTTAACACAGGAGTCTGTTGGACCTGACTCCCTTTTGGAGCCGGCCCCAAGAGGTCATTGAAGGAACTGAAGACTTTAACACATTGGAACTGGTTTCACTTCTCAGCCTTGGAGGTTGCTGCCTGTGCGCAATATGTGTCTTCATTATGAAAAGATTTAAAAATGTTGCCCCAAAAGCTCCAAAGGACCATAACTTTTTACAGCGTGTGAAGTAGCAAGATTCAGCTGCGTATGTACAAGATAAAAATACAAGAAGCTAGTGGACTGTAAACAAAGCAGAGAACGTGCACAGAGATCTCACACATGCACAACCGACTCTTGATTCTTCAGATTCTGGAAAAAAAATTGTGTTCATTTGAAGTTTTTGGAGGAACTATTTTTTTTAAATATTTGAGCGTTCTGTTTTCATAAAGAGGAAACGTATCACCCAGCGCAGTGGTTGTTTCCCTGTGTTTTTAATTGTTTTTGAAGAGCGAGGTCTGTGGCAGAGATGGGTAAGATAACCCAGGCTGCAGACTGACAGACATTAACAGATTAGAGGCAATTCACTGTTGTGTTTACGTCTCTGTGTGGGGATTCTTGATAATACTTTTATAATATAGAAAATGGCCAACCTTATCCTTTAAGCATCCTCTCTGCATGCTGTCACCCAAACCACGGTGTCCTGTTGTAGTGTCTGATGTGTCTAGAGACAGATGTGGGTGTGTTACAGTAGGAAGGTCGAGTCTACTGACACACTTTACAAATACTCTATAGAGGTGTGTTCCATCTGCGAAATAATGACAAAACAGAAGCAGTGCAATTTTGAACACAAAATGTTCTTCTGACATTACACACTGCTTATTGTTAATGGAAGCTGCTGTTTACTCACAATGCTGTGCATTAGGAAGCAGTGTTTAAATTGAGTTAATGCTATGTGTCATACTTCCGCATTGTGCTGTACATGCTGCAGTAGACTGTGAGGTATGTCAGGAAGTGTTTCTGAATTTATCCTGTAATTTATTTGGGTAAAGTTTGTTAGTTGTCACTGATGCACCTGCCATTTGGCAGATTGAGATCATTGAAAAAACTGTAGCTAGTGCGGCTATTTGAGCAAAACAAATAATTTGATCATTCCTGTATGTTCACTGAGCCATCAGTCCTCATTTTCACCTTTAATCTGTAGAGGTTTAAGGTTCAGCCAAAATCACTGAAAGCACCTGTTGGGGTTCACCAGGCCTTTACCACATGTTTATATTCCCAAAGTAAGGTATCAACAAAGTATTGTTCTG